CTTCCCCCTCACCCTTCCCAGAAAGGCATGAGACTTCCTGCTCCCCTGACCTCCACACCAAGGCAGCCAGGGGACAGACAAGTCAATCCCACTTGCCATAGTCCCAGCCAAGGCCTGGACAAGGTCAGGCAGGGACCTGCAGCGAGAGCTGGGTCAATGGCTGGCAGCGCTTTTGCAGGGTGCTGTATGGCCTGTAGAATGCAGACAGCTGCAAGCGCCAGGAAAGGTCCCTCACCTGTGACCAGGCTGGAGACAATGAGGGGAAGAACCAGCATCTGAAGCATCCGCATCAGCAGCTCTCCTGGGAAGGAGAAATACTTGATCTGGCGATAGGTCATCTTGTAGGGTCGGAGGGCAAAGGCCAAAATGATCCCTGAGAAACAAGGGATAAGAAGGGAAACAGGATGGTGTCTGCCCTAGCAATATCTCCAAATCCTGCTGAAAGCTACAGCACCTGCAGTGTGGGCCCTGGGTCCTGCCCCGCTGCCTTCCTCATGCACACCAGCCCAACAGCAGGCCCTGCTGCCTCCTGGACCCCAAGCCTATGGCAGGCACTGGGCCCTCCCCTGCTGCCCTAGGACTGCCAATTTCGATTGGACATATTCCTGGAGGTTTCATCACATGACCTAATCTTTAATTAAAGATTGATCTTTAATTCCTGGACATGCCAGGACAACCTGGAGGTTTGGCTGGCATCCCTGTGATTCCTGCCCCTGCAGACATGCAATATACACAGGCCCTATGGCAGGCACTGGGCCCTCCCCTGCTAACCCCTGTCCCCCCCACACCCCCACTGTGCACAAGGCCAATGGCAGGCTAAGGGTCCTCCCTCCTAGACCCATCCCCCACCATGCACATAGGGCCTATGGTGGGCTCTGGGCCCTCTCCCACTGTCCTTCCCCTCCTGCAATGGGCACAAGACCAATTGGTCCCTCAGAGCAGAGATGCCGAAATACTGTTAGTACCACGAGCGGTGCAAGCCCTTTGGAGACATGACGGTGGAGCCGGGTCCCTAGGAACAATGATGCTGCTGGGGTGCCAAACCTGGTGATCCTTCCCCCGGAGAGTTACAAAACAAATAACAGAGTGTCCCACCCCTGTGGGAGCAGAGCCCTCCAAACCGCTTCTCAAGCTTGAAAGGTTCCCCCCAGTTTCCTCCCCATTTCCTCAGCTGAGCTGCCTTTCAGCTTGTGAGTGCAGCTCCTTGGCAGCCAGAGGGATCGCGCTACAGCGATGAGAGGCACCTCCTCCTCCGCTCCCTATAGCTTGCTAGCACCATCGTTGGCACAGCTCCTCCTGTGCAGTGGGCACTGAGAGCTCAGAGCCACCTCGTTGGGTTCAGATCTCTGGGATGCCACCACATCTAAATTACAGGCTGAGGTGAGATGCTGACTTGGGAGGGAATGAATCTGTGCAATCAAAGGGTTAAACACAGCCCCCTGTGAGAGGCCTGTCCTTTAGCCATTGCCTCAGTGAGCACGAATGTGCTGGGCATGGAGAATGGCCCTTTCCCCAGGATAAGGCTTCCTGGGACCCTCCCTTATTACAGGGGATGCTGCTCATGTAAATGGTGAGCTCCCCGTCCGGTAAACAGGAGCCACACCATGAGAGTGCACCAGCCAGCCAGTCCTCAGCACTGCTCTAAACTTCCCTGCTGCACTCCTGGGTTGTATTTCTAGCCACACAGCTCACCATGCAAACACTTCAAGGCTAGAAGAGTCCATCTGACTGCCTGCATCGCACAGGCCAGACTTCAGCCCATGATTCTGCAGCGAGCCAATTGAAATGGTTGAGCTAGAGTGGATCTTTTAGAAAAAGACCTCCAGTCTTGATTTAAAGAATCCAAGTGATGGAGATTCTACCACGGCCTGTGGCTGGCCTAAGGCGGGTTACAGGACGGCTCCCTGCCTCAGTTTCCCCTCTGGGCAGTGGGGATAAGGAGACTTACCCTGTTGGGGCTGGAAGGCTTCCTGAGGGACTGACGGTCTGTAAAGCTCTCAGAGAGCCTTGTTCAGTGGAGGTTTAGTGTCACTTTCTGTAGTTCTCTTCTGAGGCTGGCTGTTATGAGCCACCGCGTGCTGGAACCATGCTGCTTTGCACACAGGCAGTGCCTTGTGCCTGAGGCTCTCATATCATCCTCACTTTCCCAGGAGCAGCAAACCCCCTTAGTGGAGGCACGGCTTATAGCAGCACAGGGCTTTTTAGCTAGTAAAGGTATACAGGTCCCCAAGGGAAATGATCTAAAGAAGTCCTTTTTCTGGAATAACTGCAACTAAATGAGCACTTTTTGCCTCTACAAACTGTTGTAAAGAATCACCCCGCCCAACATCCTTACACCAGCAAACATTCCTAGTGCAGAGCCAACCAGCTCTGTGAGGCGAAGCCCGGCTCTGCGTTCCAGGTGGGAACAGCGGACAGTACAATAAGGCCCTGATCCTTCATAAGCATCTGTAGATGCTCTTGCAATGCAATGCCTGATAATGGAGGCACTGAGAGATGAAGGGACTTGCCCAAGGGCACAGAGTGTGCTTGTGGCAGAACCCTGATCCCTGGCACGCTTCTTTAATCACCCTTTGTGCTAACTTAATGAATGTCCCCAGGCAGCACAGCACCGCCCTGCAGACCACAGGCTCCCTACCCAGTAGGACAGCAGTGATGGTGAAGAGGACGAAGGCATTTCTCCTGAGGAAGCCCTTGGCGCTGTCTTTGGTGATGCTGTGCATCCGCTTCTTGACCCGTGCTGCCCGCTCCTGCACCGCCTGTTGGAAGTGCTGCACCCGGCTGTTGGAGCTGAGACGCTTGGCTGATTCCTCATTCAGGAAGAGGCTGTTCACATGGCCCCGCTGGTCACTCATAATCAGATCTAGCCCTGGTCCAGAAGACAGCTCTTGGGAAACTAGGAGGGGAGAAGCAGAGGGAGAAAGAGCCAGAAGGCAGCATGAAATCTCCCTAATCTTGACAGTGCCCCCCTGGCCCTCCAGATATAACTACTCAGGCTGGCTGAGAAGCTGTTCTGGAAAGCCCCCCAGAGCAGAATCAGAAACAGGACATTGCATTTTGGGAGCTGCCAGGGGTTTGAATAGCTACAACGCTATCGTTTCGCCCAAGCAGCAGGGAAACAGCAGCCCCTCTGAGGGGAATGCAGGCACTGGCTTGGGCGTGGCTGAGACCGGATGGACATTCTCACTCCTTTCCAAGAGAATTTGCGGGCTGAACAACGATGAGATTTCTCCTTCTCCATCCAGATGATATTTTTTTTAAATATACAAATGATTTTATAGAAGCCCAAGGAGCAAACCAAACTTCCCAAACTGGTGCTGCAAAAACAATTTTGCATAAGGGAAAACAGCCCGTGTTTTTCATGGACACAGAGGAAAGAAACAAAACCCCTCTGTAGCTTTCACAGGGTTTGTCTACACTATGGGATTACTCCGAATTTACAGAATTCGATTTTTGGCTACCGATTGTATAAAGTCGAGTGCATGCGGCCACACTAAGCCCATTCATTCGGCGGTGTGCGTCCATGTACCAAGGCTAGCATCGACTTCCGGAGCATTGCATTGTGGGTAGCTATCCCATAGCTATCCCATAGTTCCCGCAGTCTCCCCCGCCCATTGGAATTCTGGGTTGAGATCCCAATGCCTGATGGAGCCAAAAATTTGTCACGGGTGGCTATGGATAAATGTCGTCAGTCAATCCTCCCTCCGTGAAAGCAATGGCAGACAATCATTTCGCGCCCTTTTCCCTGGATTGCCCGGGCAGACGCCATAGCACGGCAACCTTGGAGCCCGTTCAGCCTTTTTTCACTGTCACCGTATGTCTACTGGATGCTGCTGACAGACGCGGTACTGCAGCACTACACAGCAGCATCCGCTTGCCTTTGCAAGGTAGCA